CTTGAAAAAAGCCACTAGTGAATATAAAGCTAGGTCAAGTGTCAGTTAATAGCAATAAACAACTTTACAATTCATGGAAAAGTTTGTTTATGGGAAAAATCTATCAAAAAACTAGTAACTTCGTGATGACTCCAGGATTTTCTTGTCTTGGTATTAACTCCAAGAATTTGGGTGGGGGCAGTGTTCTTTCTTTGAGGCTATCTTTTAGGTTTCTTTCTGTCTTTTATCACATATTTCCAGTGGTGTGACTTCAGCCAAACACTTTCCATAAGGAATATGATTCACTGCAGAATTTATTACATGCTTCGGGATGTGCTTTGGACTTCTTTTCCTGTTGGGGAAGAGGGACAGGCTGGATGTGGAGATGTTTGGAAGCCTTTGCTGTTGTTTCTGTGTCACGGTTTGATTCTGCTTCATGTCAGTGTATGTGAGGAAGGGGTCATGCATTCTGGAGTTCATGCCCTCCCTCTCCCTATTGCTTCATATTAACCACTCTCATAAAAGATATCACCTCTCCCTGCAAGACTTGCCTTTCCTGTATCCTTAGGCACTTGCAGATGCAGCAGGAACATCAGAGATCAGTTGGATATGCAGTTTTTGTGGACCACATCTGTTTGTTTTCTTTCATAAAGTACCTGGGATTTACTGTGATGCTGAAAATGACTGTGAGGTGATGTACCTTTCCCTGAGACAGAGTGGGATGCTTTTCTAAGCATGTTAAAGGTTCATGCAATAGCATTGTTCCATGAATATGTAATACAGGTTTGAACATACTGACATGATACTTTAAAATACACAAAAGAAAACCAAATAAAAATGTCTGTAAAAGTTGTGAAACGCAGCCTCATGAATGAGAGAGAGCCTGGGCTAGCATTTTATCTCTCATAGCCCCAAGAGAAATGGTTTAGCAGAATAAAAATAGCTACTTTCTTTTCTCTTCCCCTTCTGCTCCAGCTTAGTGTTTATAGGCGAAGTCTCTGCAGGGAAGAGACTGTGTACATCTTCACTGTAGTCAATGTTTAGTATACCTATTTAGTGACATGCACAAACTTGAGTCAAATGGTGAGAATTTGGATTGCTAAGAACAAACTTGCAGATGGCCGTTTTTAAACAGTCACCTGGTTTGTGGGGTTTTTTTACCCACCATTTTATTTCTAGAGGGCTTTCCTCTACTCTCACCTAAGAATTTTTTTGCCCTCATCTTAGAATATTTGCACAAAAAAGTGATTGTGCCTGTCTGGGAGAATGTTCCCTGTCCAACCTGGTCTTGGACACTTCCAGGAATGGGGCAGCCACAGCTTCTCTGGGCAACCTATGCTAGGGCCTCATCACCTTCACAGGGAAAAAAATTCTGTTTCTTCTTAACATCTAATCAACCTATTCTCTTTCAGTTTGAAGCCATTCTCTCTTGTCCTGTCACTGCATGCTCTTGTAAAAAGCCCTTCCCTGACTTTCTTGTAGGCCACCTTTAATTATTGAAATTATTGGGCTGAACTAGTTGAAAACACCTGTTTCCCACACCTTTTAGCGAGTGGTCGTCTTCTGGATGTTGTGAGGAAGGTGAGGCCTAACGGGAACCTGAATACAGACACATATTCTTAAACTTCCAGTTAGTAAAGTTAGAGAAAACAACAAAAAAATAGAAGAGAAAGAAAAAAAACAAAACCCAAACTGTGCAGTATTTGACGGGAAGCCAGTGTAATTGCCTTGAAATTGGAGTGGCATGCCTGAGTCAGTGAAGTATGAGCTAAGAACCTGGCAGAAGCCTTTTGCACAAAGGAAGGTTGAGAGAGCCTCTCAGGAAGCCTGTGTGCTGCTAAATGTGGCATGTTTGAACATGAGACTGACATCATTGTGAGTTCATAGTAGTGAAAGAACAAAGTATCAGCCACAAATTAGACTGACCTAATTTTTAAGTCACTTATAAAAACTTAATAGCACAGTATCTTGCTTGTGCAAGCTGTTTATTTCTATCCTAACCTCTGACTACTTCATTTAAAATACAAGTTAACCCTCTAAACTGTTAAAGGAGTTGTTCAGGAAGGGGGAGGGTGGGGG